TCCTCATGTCCACCTACTTACCTACGACAGTTTCCCCTGTCCTCATGTCCACCCCATGTCCAACCGACAGTTTCCTGTCCTCATGTCCACCCCCTTAACCGACAGTTTCCTGTCCCTCATGTCCACCTACTTAACCAACAGTTTCCCTGTCCTCATGTCCACCCCCTTAACCAACAGTTTCCCTGTCCTCATGTCCACCCCTTAACCGACAGTTTCCCTGTCCTCATGTCCACCTAACCAACAGTTTCCCTGTCCTAATGTCCACCCCCTTAACCGACAGTTTCGCAGTCCTCATGTCCACCTACTTACCCGACAGTTTCCCTGTCCCCATGTCCACCTATATAACCAACACAGTTTCCCTGTCCCCATGTCCCCCTACCTAACCGACAGTTTCCCTGTCCTCATGTCCACCTATTTAACCAACAGTTTACCTGTCCTCATGTCCACACCACCCTCATAGTTTTCCCCTGTCCTCATGTCCACCCCTGTTAACCAACAGTTTCCCTGTCCTCATGTCCACCCCTTTAACCGACAGTTTCCTGTCCTCATGTCCACCCCTTAACCAACAGTTTCCTGTCCACACTAACTCACAGTCCACCCCTCATGTCCAACCCGACAGTTTCCTGTCCATGTCCCTCATGTTCCACCCCCTTTAACCGACAGTTTCCCTGTCCTCATGTCCACCCCTTAACCGACAGTTTCTCTGTCCTCATGTCCAGCCCCTTAACCGACAGTTTCCCTGTCCTCATGTCCACCCCTTAACCAACAGTTTCCCTGTCCCCATGTCCACCCCCTTAACCAACAGTTTTCCTGTCCTCATGTCCATCCCCTTAACCGACAATTTCCCTGTCCTCATGTCCACCCCCTTAACCAACAGTTTCCCTGTCCTAATGTCCACCCCTTTAACCGACAGTTTCCTGTTTCCCCAGTCCTACGTCCACCCTACTTGTCCACCCGACAGTTTCCCCTGTCCCCATGTCCACTGTCACTTAACCAACAGTTTCCCTGTCCCCATGTCCACCCCTTACCCAACAGTTTCCCTGTCCTAATGTCCACCTCCTTAACCGACAGTTACCCTGTCCTCATGTCCACCTACTTAACCGACAGTTTCCCTGTCCTAATGTCCACTTACTTACCCGACAGTTTCCCTGTCCCCATGTCCACCTACTTACCCGATAGTTTCCCTGTCCCCATGTCCACCCCCTTAACCAACAGTTTCCCTGTCCCCATGTCCACCTACTTAACCAACAGTTTCCCTGTCCCCATGTCCACCCCTTAACCGACAGTTTCCCTGTCCTCATGTCCAACCCTTAACCGACAGTTTCCCTGTCCTCATGTCCACCTACTTAACCAACAGTTTCCCTGTCCTCATGTCCACCCCTTAACCGACAGTTTCCCTGTCCCCATGTCCACCCCTTAACCAACAGTTTTCCTGTCCTCATGTCCACCCCTTAACCGACAATTTCCCTGTCCTCATGTCCACCCCCTTAACCAACAGTTTCCCTGTCCTAATGTCCACCCCCTTAACCGACAGTTTCCCAGTCCTAATGTCCACTTACTTACCCGACAGTTTCCCTGTCCCCATGTCAATCTACTTAACCAACAGTTTCCCTGTCCTAATGTCCACCCCTTAACCAACAGTTTCCCTGTCCTAATGTCCACCCCCTTAACCAACAGTTTCCCTGTCCTCATGTCCACCCCCTTAACCGTCAGTTTCCCTGTCCTAATGTCCACCCCCTTAACCGTCAGTTTCCCTGTCCTAATGTCCACCCCCTTACCCGACAGTTTCCCTGTCCTCATGTCCACCTACTAATGGAGCGGTTCCTCGGCTCGTTTTGTTTCGTGTAAAACAAGCAACAAACAACAGATATGGTATGTAACAATTGTATCCTGACATTTACTAAGTTCACAAAACAATACAATGGTATCCGATGGTAGCACTATAACTGGGTGGCAGTACAAATCAAAGGGCAAGGGAATACAACAGCAGTGACTATAGCAATAGTGAAATACTCCTCAATGCAACTATAGTGGAGTTAAAACATAGGCCTTGGACGAGTCTCCTGAGTAAGATTTATCACACAATGCTGGTCTTCTTATAACTTAAGATGTAATATGATACGAGAGGCAAGAGTCAGTTCCCCTTACATGCCTATGAAAACGACCCCAGAAGATGCTCCAACTCCCTGAGTCAGGATATAGTGGAAAGGCCCAAATGATTGTAGAAACTGTCAGAGTGATGTTTAAATATAGCACACGCCTAAAAAAAGAGCCTCACTGCACTAAATGCTCACAATGCATAACCCTTGGAACAGACAACGCTGACACAAGACAGTACGTTTATCGGAATATCCTGCTGCGCATTTGCCGGTTGGCTTACTTGCCTCCCTACCCGACGGTTCACTTTCTTTATGTCTGTCTACCTCCCCAAGAGTTTACCTTTTCTTATGTCTACCCATAAGCAGTTCACCTGTTTGCATTTCTATCCACCTATCCAACAGTTCACCTGTTCTTATGTCTACCTACCAACCTAGCAGTTCACCTGTGCGTCTCTCTATCTACCTGCTCGACAGTTCATTCGGTTTCTTAATCAACAGCAAAAGCAGAATGATTTAATTGTACTGAACTTCATCCAGAAACGTACAACCTTAGACCTGCTCAAAATATACGCATATTACCCTTAAATAAAAATTTAACAACACAATACAATATTAAAACATTGTTAAAATTAATACTTACAATAACTGTATAAAGATACACCTCTTTAAATATTGACTGTATTTGATGGACTTCATACACATGTAAAAACAATAGTGAGTGAGCGAGTTTAGTTTTACGCCGCTCTCAGCAACAAATAATAGACTCTGGGCCTGTTTCTGTTTCTCCTTATCTGATTCACCAACTTCTAAAGATGCCACTCAAAGACGCTATCCCAGTTGTGTTTTGTGGTGTTTCGATACCGTTTTCAGCCTAATAAAATTTTGATAACTTTTGTAATTGTTTGGTCAAATCAAATTTCAAATGCCTACGTTTTGGAGGTCAATTTATCAAATTACCCCGAAAGGTGTTTTAGTACATAGAAAAAGCTCCCTGAACACATAGAAGACTGTTACAAAGAGATGACTGAGCCGTGTAAAATCAACTCTTTACAACCCAGCCACTTTTCATTTCAAACAAAGGGCACTATATGAATATTCCCAACATCGCCTATTGCTATTTATGTGAATGCGTTCGATGTATCGCACTCAGTCGTAATTAAAACCTTGCTTCTCGCGAAAGTTAGGAATAATGCGTTTACATTACTTCGGATGTTGCTTCCCCTTTCAAGCGCCACCCATAGCAAGATATCGCAAAGTAATTAAAACCTTGCTTTCTACGGATAGCGCGTGTTAACGCGGAGTGTCTAAGGATAACCTAAGTTCTAGCATGTTTACCAGCTTCAGAATGGAGCCCTCGTCATTCTGTACCTTGAAAATATTTGAGCGTTATTGTAAACATCAAGAACACGACAGCGGTCTCGAAATATCCTCTCAGGGCCAAATTTCTGTCTCCTTTGTTTATGAATTACAACAAACGCCGCCATCTTGTTCATACACAACAATCGATCGTAAGTAAGTTACAGACGGTCATAAGAAACTCACGAAAGTGATTGTAACTTACAACTATTGTAACTTACAATTGCTTTGAGGAACGGTGGAGTGATTGTAAGTTAAAGTTACAATTGTATTGTCGTGATTTACAGCTATTGTAGTGTTACAATTGCTTTGAGGAATTGTTCCTCAGCGATCGTTACAACTCGCTTTCGAGGAATGGGACTGTCGCCCGATCGCTTTGAGGAACGGGGCCCAGGAGGATTAAGTGAAGTTGGATTATAGCATTTACATTACGACGTTCTTCGGCATTTGCGTGTGTGTATGTGTGCGTGCAGGTGTGCGTGTGCATGCGTATGTGTGATTAGTGATCCAAGCCATCGTGGCAATATTACAAACGTTTGAAAATTTTAACAACTGTACTTATAAATACATCGTTCTTAAAAATCTTTGACACAAAAAAGCGGCCATTCTTTCTTATGGTTTGGTTAGATTACGTGGTGTTTAAGGTAGTAGCAAAGTTGTACGGCGAATGTGATCGCATACCTCACTAAATACTACTAATAAAATACTGCCAGAGAGTATATTACCCCCAAAATGTTTAATATGATGCTATTGTATAAAGAGAACCATGCTTTGCTTTTTAATATCAATAAGACAGACATCTCCTGCTAAGTACTTTCAAATTGAGACATCTATTGTGGGTGATTCGAGTAAATGTGAATGCATGTATACATGTGTTACAAAATGTGCCCGAAAATTATTTAACAGTTGTAAATATAGGAACATACATGATATCTTTCGTACAATTAATACCAACTCATACAGGTAAAAAGTTGAAGGTGGCAGGCACAATAACTAACAAAATGTATTTCAAATTACACAAACAATGCTAAGGACATAAATGCTATCGTTCATGAATGCCACTTTTTTTGTATGCTGCAGTAATGCTACATTTAAAGGGAAAATATTGACACAAAATATACTGGACAAAAATAGTTAGGGATATATGTACATTTTGAAATTATGAATAATGATGTATTTAGTCATTGACACATTGATAAAATATCAACCATAAAAATAGCAATATCCCTAACTTATCTTGTATAGTATATATACAACAAGTGTCTCATTAATGTCTCATGTGAGCTACACATCCACACGATATGTCTTTTTTATATATCATGCCATGTTATTAAGAAATCAATCCTTGTAAAACATTTAACCTCATTAACATTGCCCTGTATTCTGTACTATGCGCCTGTGGCCTTACCATGTGGCGACTAACGGGATCGGGTGGTCAGGCTCGCTGACTGGGTTGACACATGTCATCGGATTCCAATGGCGCAGATCGACGTTTATGCTGTTGATCACCGAATTGTCTGGTCCAGACTCGATTATTTACAGACCGCCGCCATATAGCTGGAATGTTGCTGAGTGCGGCGTAAAACTAAACTCACTCACTCACTCAAATTATATATGAACAAATTATAACTGAGACATCTGAAGTAATTGAAGGTGCAAGCTGGTTTGGCTCCATCTTAGACAGGATATGAGTATGAGTTTGAATTATGCAAATCACGATCAGCTCGTCCGTACGTCGGAGACTGGTTGTGTGACGAGGCGTCCGGGTTGCTAGGCGATCCGTTCAGACTTGACACATCCGGTGGGACTTCGCAGTCAATAATGGGCGTCCGATCCTGTAAAACAGAAGCATGTTCAATTGTTCAAAGACCACTGGCAGTGAAAAATGGACATGGCCGGAGCCGGACATGCAGTGGGTCTAACCCAAATACGAGATTTTGGATGGCAATTGCTTTAGTTCTGTCATTCGAACTTGGTTCAAAACAAAGCTTTTATGGCCCATGGAATATATATAATAAGACTAATAGTGCATGAAACCTACATACGAGCATGGAATAATACAGATATTGCATAAACGAGATAAAAGCATGCAATAATGCTCATATTGCATGAAACCTACGTGCGAGCATGGAATAATACCAATATTGGAAAAACGAGATAAAACAAAGCAACAATATACTGTTACTGCATAAAACTTACGTACGAATATTGAATAATACCGATATTGCATAAATGATATTGCATGAAACCTACATGCGAGCATGGAATAATACCGATATTGGAAAAACGAGATAAAACCAAGCAACAATATACTGTTATTGCATAACACTTACGTACGAATATTGAATAATACCGATATTGCATAAACGAGATGAAATAAAGCATTAATACTGACGTTGCATTAAACCTATATATGAACATGGAATACTATCGATATTGCATAAACGACATAAAAGCATGCAATAATACTAATATTGCATGAAACCTCCTGGCGAACATAGAATAATGCTGATATTGCATAAACAATATAAAAGCATGCAATAATACTAATATTGCATGAAACCTACATGTGAACATAGAATAATAGCATAAACGACATAAAAGCATGCAATAATACTAATATTGCATGAAACTACATGACATGCGAACATAGAATAACACTGATATTGCATAAACGACATAAAACCATGTAATAATACTAATATTGCATGAAACTACATGACATGCGAACATAGAATAACACTGATATTGCATAAACGACATAAAACCATGTAATAATACTAATATTGCATGAAACCTACATGCGAACCTAGAATAATACCGATATTGCATTAACATACATAAAACCATGCAATAGTACTGATATTTCATTAAGCCTACACCCGAACATTGAATAATACTGATAATGCATTAAACAGAAATTGATAAGTACAAGGGTTCCATACATTATTCCTTCCTGGCCGTGACGATGAATGCACCCATCGCTTCTCCTTTGGCTGAGCTCTAACGGAGCAGAATACAATCCAAAAGAGAATTTTTATGAAGATTAGTACGATGATGAAACTGAAACAGAAACGAAAATATATGAATTATGAACGTGTTTAATATGTACTACTCAAAGGCAAATTTAACAGATATTTTGTTTTATTACTAAGTTCAAGTTCTTAAAGGTCACATGCAACGTAAAACACAACTTTGCAGATTCTGATACCTTTCGGTATGGACTACAGTAACAAATAATCAAAAATGCAAATTCAACTTATAAAGTTGACAAATAACGCGATGAAAAAAGCCCGCGAAATCGGAGTTCAAACGATTCACTAAATTCACCCCAGCTGGGATGAAAAGTGGTTTCAACAGCTGCGCTGCGCTGCACTGCGCTCGTGGCGGATGCGCAGTGAATAGGTTCGCGGAGCTTGGAAGGGGGATGTCCGGATTTTAAGGTCGTGCGCAGGAGTAGTCTAATCTTGGTTGTGTACACAAACAACAACTAGTAAATAATCTACTCGTTGCATAAAAGAACCTTGTTAAGGATCTAGTTCTACTAAGCTATGTGTCAACCAGTGAGGCGTTCGACAAACAAGACGGAAAACCTTCGCTGGCGGTGAGTACTCGGAGTAGACTTTGATGGAGCTATTTTTCTAATGTTTTGTTGATATTTCAGAGTCGCGAGATTTTCTGATGTTATGACAGGAGATTACCGATTTAACTGCTTATATAATTTCATTTGACTATTTCACCACACGTTCTTCTTACCGAGTCACTTTCTCAGTTCGATACTTAAAGGGCCACTGATCCAGAGCGATTAATGTTTCTCGCCAACAGTCTAATTACGAAACCTAGTTGCAAACGGTTGTATCCCATTACCCCTACATTCCATTACCCCTACATCCCAGTACCACTACAATTAGTTAAAACAACACACGGCATTTACCTGTCTGGCATAATGAACTTACCCATGGGAGCGATTAAAGTGTTGTGTATACAACTTAGAAAGGATTAAGGTGTTCTTGGTTAGAGAAAGTTTAAGATGAAATGAAGTAAATGTTGAAACTGACACTGAGATGAGACAAGTAATTTGAGATGACTTAGTATAGTAAAGTGTTGTGTATACAAATTAGAAAGGATTAAAGGTCACATGCAACCAAAAAATCAAACATAATTAAAACACAATTATCACTTATTCATGGCATATAATATACATTGCTGGTTATGAAAAAACATATAAACAAAATTATAAGCGTACAATCGCAAATCAAAAGTGCAGTATTGTGTACTTCGGTTTACTTCCCAAGAAACGAAGCAGCCGGGATACCGAACCCAGTCAGAGCGGGTGGGTGTGCACTCAAGTGTAACGGCTGGTTCATTTGCAGATGCCGCTTTCACGGCTCATTGTGTGTGTATATATAGAGATGTTGGGTTTTGTAAATACATGCTCATTTTTTGTGTATAACATTTTGCAATCAACAGACATCATAACATGTTATGTGTTCAAGTATCACACCTGCCTGTCTGTGTAATTACATAATGTGACAGAGACCGAACTCGGGCCATAAATCAATGCATTTTGTTTATGGTGTACAGCCTGATTGGTGTTAAGTTCAATTGCATGTGGTCAGTGATAGCAGCTGTGTATTGAATATTGTCATTAGCAGACAGGCAGGCAGACACACAGGTGTCAATAAAACAAGACATTGAGTTTTGTCTGTGACAACGACATATCTATATCACAGTTAGAAATTCTGTCAACGCTAAATAATGACATTGCTTTTAAGTATCGAACTGAGAAAGTGACTCGGTGAAATAGACAAATGAAATTATATAAACAGTTAATTTACTGTCATAACCCAGCAGGCACATCAACGTTGTTTCAACGTTGAGAATAGGTTGATCCTCAACGTTGAAAATAGATTGAAAATAGGTTGTATATGAAAGTTTTTTTGACGTAGATATCCGACGTGGAATCAACGTTGAAGTTTGACCGATTATCAACGTTGAAAAAAGGTTGATCCTCAACGTTGAAAATAGGTTGTATATGAAAGTTTTTTTGACGTAGATATCCGACGTGGAATCAACGTTGAAGTTTGACCGATTATCAACGTTGCGAATAGGTTGATCCTCAACGTTGAAAATAGATTGAAAATAGGTTGTATATGAAAGTTTTTTTGACGTAGATATCCGACGTCGAATCAATGTTGAAGTCTGACATATTATTAACGTTGAAAATGGGTTGTTCGGTGGTTGTGTCTGGGAGGTATTACGCTTTCCTGTATATAGACTCGCATTTCATCTTTAAACTACAATAAAGTAGCACCAAACTCCTGCATCCAGCTAAAATACCCAAAAAGCTACCTGCAATAAACAGTGTTCAAACAGAAAATTGCAGTAAAAATATTTACCTGATAAAATACTTGGTTAAAATTCCACATTCAATATAATGTTCATTTAAGTTTTATGTCAGTTGGACGTATAATTCCCGTAAGAAGAAAAGATCATTCCAAATTAAGAAAAACTATTTACTGTTGTATTGTTACCTTGAAAAGGTGAAAATTGTCCCGAGAAGGCATTTTGTCTGAATTTCAGCTCTTAGACAGACCTCTGAATAAACACAATGCAATTACTTTCACCATGAAAGGGATCCAAGATGACCAGGAACTATACCTGAAGACAGCACATAAAACGAATCACTTTTCATGAAATCTTTATGAACACACACGCACACAGAAAACGTGGTTTAATGCATAATGTAAAACATCACACATGACATAGTCTGTAGGTGATCTCTGTTGTGCTAATAACACAATATCATCTGCATTTTTTCAACACAATTACAACTCCAAAAACAAAATTATCAGCTCCTCTTCTTTCTGCCACTCCCTGCCTGGCGGTCAGGTGGATACTTCAGAAACGTTCCTAACTCTTTCTTGAAATTTGCTTCGGATGCATTCCCATCTCATTCCCTTGAGATAGGACACATTCTGAAATTTTATATTTAAATACATGAATAAGTTATATGGAAGATATATTGTCTTAAATGATTCAAGTATTTGTTTAATCAATCACTTGAAAGGTTCATTTCACAGCTGTAACTTGGTATGTGAACATATGAACAGCATCAATACAAAATATGACGAAAAGTGTAAACGATTTATATTTTCAACCCGAAGGAATGGAAGTTTTCTTAAACATTTTCAAAGAAAATCCTCAACTGCAAGTTGATAATTTAATTAGACTATGAATTACCGGTAGGATGAATTAGACGATGCTTTACTGTCATATATTATTTGCTATGGTCATGATGAAAATGCTGCACTTGGTAATTAACTTACAAAAAAAGATGATTGAATACAACCTTGTATTCTTAAAAGAAAACTTGCCGTTTTGCCCATCAACATTCATTCTTGACATCAAATTGTTTGACATTGTCCTGCAAAACAATGGAAGATTGTTGTTATTCTGTCAGATTTAGTTTTCTTTAGAGATTCTCGGAAATGATTATTTCAAATTAATAGGAGTTGAACTGATGTAGCAATTTTGCTACCAGGAGTCATAAATTGTAACAAAAGCCATTTTACATTAAATGATAAGAAAACAAAATGGGTGGTGGTTCACAGGTCAAAGAACAAGTCTATTGTGGGAGGTCTCCCAACACCATTTGTTCCCAAACACAAGGAAGTATGGATCATGGAGTTCTGAAAACAATAATGAGCTCTCATAAGTATACAATATATTCTCTATTATCTACTCTCTCTCTCTCTTTGTCATTTGTACACTCATAAAACTCAGATAAATAACTTTTTTATAATTCATATATGTTTACACTTAATCTCTTATAGGAACGCTTAGAAAATCTCTCATATAATGAATTATGTGTGCGTATTATCTGCGACGTCATAACTATGCTTCTCTGAATCATGAACAATAAAATAATGAGATTAAACTCTACATTGTCAGAAATAATCTATCATACCATGAATAATAAGACATTGAATAACATCTCTTACAACTCCAATCTACATTCTTAAAAGAAAACTTGCCGTTTTGCCCATCAACATTCATTCTTGACATCAAATTGTTTGACATTGTCCTGCAAAACAATGGAAGATTGTTGTTATTCTGTCAGATTTAGTTTTCTTTAGAGATTCTCGGAAATGATTATTTCAAATTAATAGGAGTTGAACTGATGTAGCAATTTTGCTACCAGGAGTCATAAATTGTAACAAAAGCCATTTTACATTAAATGATAAGAAAACAAAATGGGTGGTGGTTCACAGGTCAAAGAACAAGTCTATTGTGGGAGGTCTCCCAACACCATTTGTTCCCAAACACAAGGAAGTATGGATCATGGAGTTCTGAAAACAATAATGAGCTCTCATAAGTATACAATATATTCTCTATTATCTACTCTCTCTCTCTTTTGTCATTTGTACACTCATAAAACTCAGATAAATAACTTTTTTATAATTCATATATGTTTACACTTAATCTCTTATAGGAACGCTTAGAAAATCTCTCATATAATGAATTATGTGTGCGTATTATCTGCGACGTCATAACTATGCTTCTCTGAATCATGAACAATAAAATAATGAGATTAAACTCTACATTGTCAGAAATAATCTATCATACCATGAATAATAAGACATTGAATAACATCTCTTACAACTCCAATCTACACTCAAAAAGACTTAAATGTACTCGTAAACAAACATCGCTGGCTAACGCAAATTCTTGGAAACAGTGCATCTCTGACTCTCAATTCCAAGAAATGGAAGTCCTACTCTATTTGACCAAAGGGGTGACAGGTGGCCAAAACATATTAAATGTAGGTCATACACTGAAAATAACTCTGATTTAAAACACTACAAATATACACCTTCTCTCTAATATACTCGATAGATAATCTTAACAAGGGAACATGTACATAAAATGCTGATATCTAACAACACCTGTACTTTATATAATGGACTCTTCCAAATCTCAGTATGTTTCACTGCACACATATTAGATTGCAAATAATGAAAAACCTACCCTTTGACAATAATAAAAAAACATCATATTCA